AGGAGAAACGGTTCAGGGTCAGAAGATGAGGTTCTGGTGAACATGAAACTAGGCATGGAGAATATTGACAAGTTGGTGCAGGATCAAGGGACAAGGAAAGAGATAAAGATGGAAAGCTTAAGGAATTCCATTGAGCTTTTGACCATAGTTGCTTCATTGAATAGTAAAAGTAAAACATCAAAGGAAGCTAGTTCAACTTGTGGAATACCCAATTCCCATATCTCTGCTTGTGCTCAGCTCTACTTGGCAATAGTTTACAAGCTTCAGAAGAACAACAGGATTTGTGCTACGCACCTGCTGCAAGTATTTTGTGATTCTCCATTTTTGGCTAGGACTTACTTGCTTCCAGACCTTTGGGAGCACGTGTTCCTTCCTCATCTTCTCCATCTTAAAATTTGGTATGCTGAGGAACTCGAGGCACTTTCGGCTTCCAGTAAATGTCAAGATGAGAAGGAGAAGACAATAAGGACTTTGAGCAAAGTGTATGGGAAAAAAGTCGATACGGGAACTACTTTGTTTGCTTTGTATTACAAGCAGTGGCTTAAAGTTGGTGCTAATGAGCCTCCTCTTCCTATTGTTCCATTGCCATCAAGACCAAGCCGTGGATCAGCAAGAAAAACGTCTTCAGATTCTTTTGTTTTGCATTCCTCAATCAACACAAACTTGTAAGTGACATGGCTATTTTGCATTCACTGGTTCATTCATTCTAGTTATGTTTTCACAAGAAACAAAATCAATTATATGGTAGTTATGAGTTGTCTGTGTTTTGGTTGCTTGCAATAGATACAAGGAAGTATTTGGCCCCAAACCAGAACTGAAATCTACCACTAAAGCTGATAAAAATGGATTGTTGGCAATTACATGGGGCTCAGGGAATGATGAAAATTTGTATGGAGATGAATACAACCGCAGTTCACTTCAGGTAAGTTTCAGTATCTTCATTGAATAGAAAATTTAAAATATAGGAATGCATCTGAAACATATAATGTCTTTTTATTTCTCACCTCTGATAGAAACAAAACACAATATTCCTTGGAAGATCATCAAGGTCAATTGACAAGAGTTATGCTGAATTGAACCAAGGGTCACAGAGACTGGACTATTTTCCATGCTTTTCTTGCAGGAGTATGCAAGCAGAAAGCTTGGTGAACAGCAACTACACATCCTGTAATGCTTCATTTAGAAACGAAACAACTGTTCTTTCAAGCGAATTTGTTGGAGCTATTACAACTATATGTTCATCAGATATTCTCAGTGAATGTGAATTTTCAATTCGTGTGATTGCCAAAGCTTGGTTAAGCTCTCATGCTGACCCTCTAATTGAAGAAGCAGTGTCACAATCTAATGTAATTGAGGCTATCCTGGAGGTACTGTTTGCCTCAAGTACAGATGAAATTCTAGAATTGGCTATATCAGTTTTAGCAGAACTAACAGGGAGGAATGATGCAATTGGAGAAATTATACTGAGCTGGGATCCACAACTAGAAATCTTTGGGAGACTCTTAAGAATGACTGGCCTGTTTCTAAAAGCTGCAATCCTACTTTATCTGTTAAAGCCACCGGCAAAACAAATGTCATCACCAGAATGGGTGCCATTAGTACTTCGAGTATTAGAATTTGGAGACAAAGTTCTAACTCTCTTTACAGTACAATGTTGTCCTCAAGTGGCTGCAATTTACTTTATAAACCAACTTCTTACTGGTTTTGATGAAGATAAGAATTTAGAGAATGCTAGGCAAGTTGTTTCGCTTGGGGGATTGACCTTTCTGATGAAAAGAATTGAAGAAGGAGAGGTTCACGAGAGAAACAATGCTGCTTTGATTATTTATTGTTGCATTCATGCCGAAGGAAGCTGCAGGAGTTTTCTGGCTGACAATATAAAGAAGAGTTCATTACTAGAACTCATTGTTCTTGGCAATAGTAAAAATTGCAGTGGATTTGCCTTTGCTGTGTTAACTGAGTTACTCCATCTTGATAGGCATTTTTTCATCACCTAACTTTTCGTAGATATCTTGCTTATTTTTTCCATTTATACTTCTTCTCTTTGTTTCCTTACTTTGTTTTACCAGAAAGAACTGACACGAGTCTTTTGAAATTGTCAGAACCACCAAGATTTTAAATTTCTTAAGGGGACTTAAAGATGGATGGGGTGGTCTAAGCACAATGCACATTCTGTTCATCTACCTTCAGAGGGCTCCACCTGAAGAACGCCCTCTGGTTGCAGTGATATTGTTGCTGCTTGATATTATGGTAATTCTTTCAGCCTACTAATCCTTGTATGGAAACATTAACCAATTGTTTGGTAAAAACAATTCTGTGAATAATTTTCCAATATAACTAGTTGTTCCCAAAATCAAGCTCTTACACTGTTTAACCGTCCATTAGTCTGTAAGAAATCACATTTAGGGTCTTGAAGAGTTCATAAATGGAAAAGCAGTTGTTTTGCAGGAAGATCCTTTCAAAGGGAGCTTTTATAGAGCAGAAGCAATTGAGGCAATTGTGGTTTCTTTAAATTGTCAAGTATGTAATGATATAATACAAGAACAATCAGCAAGGGCTTTACTCCTGTTAGCAGGACACTTTACTTATACAGGAGAATCATTAATGGAGAGAACATTTCTACAACAAGCTGGCTTCCAAGAAAATTGCTTAGAAGATTCCTCTTATGGAAAGGAAATTGTTGTTTATGATTCAGCTCACAAGGTAGTCATTGGATTATAAATTATAATTATGCAATTTTGAAGTTTCATATCCCGGGTTCTAAAAACAGGAATTGCTTTTAGAATCTCTTTCTATTCAAGTTATTGATTGGTTACATGTTGTTGAATAGAATGAAGAGGACAATAAAGCTGAAACTTGGCGAAGAACAGCAGCCTGTGTCTTGTTCGAAAGTGGAAACAAGAATTTACTAAAGGCACTTTCAGATTCTTCAACCAATGGAATCCCAAGTTTAGCACGAGCTAGCCTTGTAACAATTTCATGGATGAGTAGCTACCTTCACTTAGTCGACGATACAAAGGTCCCACCAATGGCATTCTCAATCCTCACGTCAGTGCTGCTAAAATCCTTGAATTATGACAAGGATGTTGAGGCAAGAGTTTTGGCTTCATATTCATTGCTCTGCCTTGTAAAAAATTCAGGTATGAACTATGAAACCTTTGCCATGGTCAGAATTATGCCAAACTTCTCCTGAAAGGACTAATTGTTTTAGTTTTGTTTACAAACTTCAGAATATATTATTATTATTATAAATTCAGAATTTTGTATCCTTGTTTAACTCTTCTTTTTTTCATTTGTCCTTTCTTTTGGCAATCTCCTAGCAGGATGTGTCTCTTTCCTACCATCACTGGATAAAGACTCAATCAAATATCTTCAGAATCTCTCTCTAGTTACGTGGACTGCCAGTGAGCTAATCGCAATCATCTCCAAAAGCAGCTTGCATAACAAAACAATGAAAAGCAAAGCTCATTGTTGAACTCTTCCGTGTGTGTTCAATTATTCATTCTTTCATTACGTGTGATTGTAACCCCTTGAGTTTGTATAGCTGATTAGATTGAGTGGCAATGTTTCTACCAAAATCTATTTGTTTCATTTTATGATAGCTTATGATCTCACAACTTGAAAAGCTTGTTCAGCCAAAGAAAGAAACAACAAACACGGGGAAAACAGTAAAATATTCATAGATGCTAAATCATGTCCAATACAAGTAGTTGCCCATTGATCATGCTATTATCTTTTTGTTCCTAGATTACAAAAGTGTCCTTATGTCACTGTCTTTCTAACATCACCCCACAAAAAGAAAATGAAAGAGGACAAAAACTGGATGATGATGAAAAGGGGGGGGCACTTTATTAACCATTTTGCATGGATCACAAACTTATCTCTTGCGTGGTTGTGCATGTGATGTGCACCTCCATGCTCGAGACTGACTGAGTAAAGTAACCCCCCCACCCCCATCTCTATAAGGAAAAAGGAATCTCTCAGCAAAATTGATATTTCCTGCAAGAATAACAGACAAACAAGACAGAACAATTTGGGACATAGTTGGATATGTAATTGTGGATGTGAATGTGGTCACTAATTGCAAGAACCTCACTGCGGGGAGAACTTAATTAAACTTGGATTAGTAGTCACCAACCATTGAATTAACATAATCAGTGTTGGGTTGAGAAACGTAAATTTGAGTGGGAGAACACAGAAGAGGTTTTCAAATGACTAACAAGATAAATCCAAGAGAATATATCATCACACTATACCCAAATTGTTCAAGTATGGATCTTCTGACTACTTATTGTGAAATTTATTCATTTCTATTCAAAGTGAACTTTCACATTTCAACTTCAACATATTTATTTTCTTGTGGATTTTCCAATAATCAGTTTTCATATTAATAAATAGCTGCCAAAACGTTATATAAAGCAAGAAACCATATTCAGAAGAAAGTAAGTAAAGCTGAACAAGTTTTTGGGACACTTAGATTCCAACTGTTAGCAACTTTCAGGCCAAAAAGAAACATGCATAGCTGGAACACAGGTCTAGTCCCATTGATGTTTTGGGTCTCTCCGTATGGCCTTTGCTACGATTGTTAAATCTTGATGTTAATTTCCCATAACATATAAAGACAAAGCAAGTTTTCTTCAAACAGTTTCTATATAGCCCGTTGATATTGACTGTTTTTCCCATCCATCTATCAGAGCAACAAAATCAGCCTACTGTCAATATTATTCTGATGCCATTTGTCATCTTTCAATGAAAGAATGCTAACAAGTTTTTATACTAAAATTTATAAAATTACAAAATCTTATAAGCATCACCTTTTGATATGCAATCCTCCAAACTATTTACCATTAACTAATTATGAATCATTCTTTGATTACGAGAAAGACAAATATTTCACATGACTAGGAGGATTCACCAATGAACATAACTTTTGTCCTTGAAATCCTCATCCTACGGCCAACTCTAGCATTGGTACATGTATTCCTTCTCATCTTCAAGACTCATCCAATTGGGTTCCGAGGAATTTTGGAGCAGATGACGGGGTTTTGGTTGGCCAAACTCCATGCTGTAGCCATGTGCTTGCAGTGGCTGGCCACAAGTGTATCTTCCATTGTCCTTACATGCATTAGAGGAACCCAATATCCAAGAAAACAGTGAAAACAGTCGTATACATGGCAAAGAGAGTAAGACAACAAACAAAACTTAAATTTTGAAAGACATATATGACCAATCATCATCAATTATCAATATGCATGGTCCCCATTCTTCACATGCTACTCTCAGTTCTTGGTCTCCAATGGTGTCACATTTGTGGAATGTGAGAATATCAAACACTATTCAAAGTTCAAACTCTCTTTGCACCAGAAAGTAGACGATACGAGAATTGAGAAGTGGAATGGACCACACAAAATTTCAAATGGTAAAGGGAAAAGAGGAAAACCATTAATCTAAAATGTAAGTTTGAATAAAAGTTCAAATGTAACGTAAGATTCCATTAGAACCGCATAATCCAGATAGTTGTTACAAAGATCGTACGGAGATGCCTTGTTGACAAATGCTATCAACGATAAATCCAAAATCACCCCAATTGATTACTCACTTTCTGTGAACTGCACTTTGGATTCTTTCTTCTTCTTTTTTTTTTTCTTGAGAAAGGAGAAGAAAGAAAAATATATTGTTATGGTAAGCCTAAGAATCTAAATGTAGTGTAAGAGTTAGGTTATTTTATAATATTTTAATAGTAAAATCATATTAAAAAAATTGTCTTATAAAAATAATTTATGATAGTTTAATGACTTTGATATGTATTAAAAAAAACTAATTCAACTTTACAAAATTAGTTTAGTAAAATAAGAATTATATTTATTTTTATCATATTTTATTTATTATACTATGACTAGATTATCATGACAACTTTTTATTTCTGGTGTGTTTAATTAATTAAAATATATATTTATTTCATATTATATTTTTAAAATAAGTCTTCTTCCTCCTTCTCTCCATGCATGTTTCATTTCTTCTCTACCCAATTTTTATAATTAATTATAACAAATAGAGCTAATAATATTTTTTTAAATATTATCTCTTTCTCCTCTTTGCTTATAGGTAGATCTTTAAGATAAATATAGATATATTAACAAGTATTTTAATAGAAATAAAATATCAATATATTTAAATTAAAATATCCTTATGTAATAAATTGATGTCCGTATATATATCTAAGGGAAAAAAATTATTAATTAGACTTGGATTCTGAAACATCAATTGTTTACAAAATTAAAACAATTAAAGATTTGAGAAGAAGGTTGCACAGTTTTTTTAACTACAAACTAAGGTATTGATTACGAAATTTAAAGATAAAATACTTTTAACTATATAGAAATGCACTTCCTATATGATTTTTTAATGTGTTTTTAGTTTTCAATATCTTCTAATTCCTTAATTAATATCTAAAGACACTAATTAACAATATCTTTTTTCTAACAAATTTTTTACTACTGATTAGAACTTATTACAAAATATAAATTATAAAATTATAAGTGAAACAAAACGTAAAATTAAATTTTGATAAAAAAAATATGTTTAAAAGAGTTACTTTTAATTAAATATTTTGTTTACATTGACATACTTGTGTTTGGACAAATGTTTAACCTGTGAGAGTATGTGGGCTAGACGCACAAAGGCCCAAGGTACAAGCCCATTATCAACGAAGTGTGAACTGTTGTTATGAAGCAAACTTGCATTTAGTAAATGCTGGGATAGTCAAATCGGGTTGATCTATGCCACATTCTTCATGGATCTCATATGTTTATTCATGTAGACAATATTTTTTCTAGTGTAAAATAGGGTATGGGTTCACTCTTTTGATTTTGAAAAGTTTGGAGAGGTTAATTTAAAATATTTTTAGAAAGTTTATTTTGAAAAGTTTCAAAAACAGTGAATTTGGAACTTAAATCATAAATGCAAAAAATCATTTTCAAGTTTAACTTAAAAAAAAATTATTTTTTTTCAAAATGGTAAAATTATATGTCTGATTTCAAAATCTAAAACTTAATATATATAGAGAGACTTTTCAATCCTAAATAGTATTTCATATCTTTAACTCCCTAAACTAACAACAATTTCAAAAAAACAAGAGAGTAAGTAAAGGTCCAAATGTATCTTGATCTATTTAACTAATAGGTTTTATTATCAAGGTCAAAACTAACTTAGCTTAATTTTGTTTGATCTTATCGATAAAGTAAAAAAAATAAAATTGTTTGATTTATATTTTAAAATGAATAATAAATTTTAGTCTATTTTAATATTATATAAAGCTAACTGACTATCATACCAAATTTTTTCTAATTGAAAATTTTAAAAATATATTAACATATTTTTATAAAAACAACTCATCGAAAATATATAAATAAAAATTTAAAATTTATTTTTAAAATTTAAATTATATTAATAAAACTAGTTTTTATTGAGATATAATAATTTAATATATAAATTATAAGATAATTAATCTATTTAATTGTAGAATAAAAATTAAAAACTTAATAACCATTTTTATCATTCTTTTTTAGTAATTTATTCATTTAAAATAATAATTAGTTTTAATTATTAAATATTTAAATAAGTGATTATTAAATATATTACTCTAATATTTAATTTTATAATAATTGAATCTCTTATTAAATTAATTTATATTATATTATAGTATATATATATATATATATATATATATATATTAATGAAATATTATCACTTTATTTTTATTTAAAAAATAATTATTATCTAACTTAAAACCTTAAGGATTAATTTGAATCTAAATGTATTAAACAAAAATAGATTTGATTGTATTTAAATCACAAATTTTTATAATCTATTATTCGAGTCAAAGTGATTCAACTAAATCCATTTCACTTGCTTATAAGACATAAGTAAATTGTGAAATTTTTAATTATTTTAATTTATCATAATCTAACTTTAATAATCCAACTAATATTTTTTTCAAAAAATCAAAAAACTTGATTTGACTTTTTTTAATAAGAATTGAATTAAAAATATCAATTATTTAAATACTTGCGGAAAAAAATTTATATTTAACTTTAATTACCTTTTTTCCTATTGTGAATTTTTTTAATTATTTTAATTCATCATAAACTAACTTTAATGATCCAACTAATATTATTTCAAAAAATCAAAAACTTGATTTGACTTTTTTTTATAAGAATTGAATTAAAAATGTCAATTATTTAAAGACTTGCGGAATAATTTTTATATTTAACTTTAATTACTTTTTTTCTATTGTTTAGTAATTTTATTTAATTTAATCTCACTATTAATAAAATATTCAATTAAGTTCTTCAAGTTTTTAAAACCTAACATGCTCTACTTTCTATTCATTTAGCTGTAAAATTATTAACAAACAAATGTTAATAATTTTGATTTACACATAACATAACGTAGTATATGTGCATTATGAAAAATTACAAAATTAACGACATGATTCAATATACGAAAACATCATATTATTATAGTTTAAAAAATAGAAACTTGATTGAATTTTAAAAGAGTCACATTACTATATTTTTAAATAGAACTTATTAAAAAAATTAGAAAATAAATTTAATAAAATAAATAAATAGTAGAAAAAAAAGTTAAGCCATGTATTTATTTGTTGTGTATGGCACACGAATTTTATGAGCGTGTGTGCATTATCCATTGCTGTTAACTTAAAATAACATGAAATTTATTTCGTCTCACATGTTCAAGTTTTGAAAATACTTGTAAGGCAGTGTTTGACAAATTCTTGGTTAGTGCTTGAAAGATTTCTTGTACTTCTACAGATCAAGGTGGAAGATTTTGAATAAGAAATAAACAAAAGATCGCGTTGAAGGAAAATAGAAAAAGCGAAAATAAGCAATAATTATGAAAATATATTTTTATTTATTTTGTTGTTAAGAAGGACTGAAGTGCAAACAAAAAAATTACACTCAAATTTATAACTGATCAAAAAGAAAAAAATCTTATATTTTAAAATAAATCATAAATTTTAGTTTAATTGATTAACAGTTTAATACACATATTTATATATCTAATAAAAAAATATTAATATTATTATTTTATAAAATAAGTCAAATTATTATTTTAATCTAAATTCATTTAAATTATATCTAAACAAACATATTAAAATTGACCTAATTCAATTTTTATATATAAATTTTCTATTCTAATCTAACAGAATTTTGATTTAAATTTCTTTTAACATTTTTAACTAAAACTAGTTAAGAGTATTTAGTTTTCTAAATTTTTCACATTAATATTAGAATTTATTAATGAATACTAGGAAGAAAATTTTAACTATAAGTGATAATTAAATTTTCACATTAATATTAAAATTTATTAATGAATATTAGGAAGAAAAATTTCAAACTTAGAAAATTTAAAATATATAATTTTACTTTATTAGGTATATCCATCATTAACTATAAATGATAACTAAATACTTAATTTAATATACTATTGTTAGTAATTTTATCTAATTTATCTTGTTACATATCAACTATTTACTTATTTTTTCGGATGTGACTTATTGTTACTTATTGTTAGTAACATCTTGAGGTAATGTGACATAAAAACAGCTAATTGTTTGGATGAGATACCTAGAGAAAAATGGGCACTTGCATGAGACAATGGACGATATTGGGGCCACATGACGACCAACATAGCAGAGTCTATCAACTTTGTTTTGAAAAAAACAAGAATCTACCTATTTGCTCCATGGTCAACGTAACGTACACCCGCTGCAACAAATTTTTCATTGAAAGAGGGAGACAGATAGATGTCATGATCAATGCTTGTCATGTATACTCTAAAATTTTGGTCACAAATTTAGAGGAAGCACAAACACAGGCAAACACGCATAGGGTCATAACTTTTGACAAGTTTACCACAAATTTTGTAGTAGAAGAAACACAAAACCCGCGTGAAGTTCGACTAGCAGGGAAGTTTGCAGTTCGCCTTGATGAGTTATGGTGTGACTGTGGGAAATTCCAAAAATTTCACATGCCTTGTTCACATGTTCTTGCTGCATGCAAGCATGCACACCATGACTTCAACAACTATATTCATTCAGTGTATACCTTACAACAAGTTTCAAAGGTATACGGAACACAATTTGGGTTATTGCGAAATGAAGAATATTAGCCAACATACATAGGACCTACTTTGTGTGCAAATCCAGAAATGAAAAGAACTTCAAAGGGCCTACCAAAATCAAGTCGTATAAGAACTGAGATGGACATTACAGAAAATCAAAGTCGGATTAAAAAATGTTCATATTGTCATACCCCTGGTCATAGCAGAAGAACATGTCCCAATGTTGCACGTGCATCTACTTCGCATCGTTAGATTGTGTTAGTTAAGAAATGTTTCAATATATGAAACTTAGGAGTTTTTCAATTAATTGAAAGTGATGAAGATCTTATTGAATCATTTGATAAAACGAAGATCTTGTGGATTTGATGAAGTCAAAGGTTATTTAAGGAACTTTTTGCTAACTGTTTTAATCGATTAAAACTTGTTGTTATCAGTTAAAATAACTTAGAGTTTTGTGAAAAGTTTTGAAGAAACTCATTCTGCAGGAGCTGCATAATCCGGGTTTGATTGTTCTAGTTTCTTTACATTTCTTTACTGTATTATGGGTATCTGGAAGCTTGAGCGAGAATTGACCACAAGTTAAACGTCCAACGCAGTTAACCACATAATGCAACTTGGGTCAACACATATTTCAATCACTTCTCGCTCAAGCGAAAGTACCCGTCGCTTGAGGGAGAATTGACCCGAGATTACCCATTTGTTACAGGTCTCCTCGCTTAAGCGAAGAGTTTTATTCGCTTGAGCGAGAGAGAAATAATTGATCATAAATTTGTATATTCGATTATTTTAAAAATATGATCGATTAGTTCAAATTATAATCGATTATAAATTTCTTCGCTCAAGCAATGGATGTATCGCTTGAGCGAGAATTGACCATGGTCCAACGCAGTTACCCAATCAATTCTCGCTCGAGCGAAGTAACTCATCGCTTGAGCAAGAATTGACCACAGGCTAAACGTCCAACGCAGTTAGCCACATAATGCAACTTGGGTCACCACATATTTTAATCACTTCTCGCTCAAGCCAAAATACCCGTCCCTTGAGCGAGAATTGACCCAAGATTACCCCTTTGTTACAGATCTCCTCGTTCAAGCGAAGGGTTTCTTCGCTTGAGCGAGAGTTGATCTTGCGCGAAATAATCGATTATAATATAAAATAATTGATTATTTTAATACGTGAAAGAGGGCTAGTTGTGTAAATAATATTCTAGATGTACTATTTTGGAAAAATATTTTTAAAAATAGTATTATTTATGAAAAAAAGTCTCTCTCTCTCTCTCTCTCTCTATATATATATATATATATATATATATATATATATATATTTTTTTTTTAAATCTTTAAATAATTTAATTTAGTTATTACAAATTAGGCTATTGTTGTTCGTGGAGGTGATGTGCATGAAAAGAGAAGAATTTAGATGTAGAAGAAAATAATGGTGTAGAAGATGATGTTTTTATTTTAGCTTTTGTGACGTGGTAGCAAACAAGGCATCTATTATAGCGGCTGTGTAATGATAAGATACTCAAAATCAAATTAATAAAAATTAATTGAAAATTGATTAAAAATAAAATTGTTTTTTCTCTAACCTATTTTAAATAAATTTAAAGTAAATTAAAATTTTAATCGTGTTTAAATAAATGTTATATATTTAAAGTCAATTATTAATTATACAGATCTCTTTTCAAATATTATGCTCTGACTATATTTACTTATAATATATTTATGTTTATAAAAATATAATAACTAACTTGTATTATAATTTTTATAAGATTATATTATTTGTTTGTAATTTATAAGAGAAAATATACCGTGATAATCATAAAAAATGTTTATAATATAAATAAATTTTTACTATAAAATATTTAATAATTGATTTGTAAAAAATATTTAATAATTTTATAATAACAAAATGGTAAAAATTAATTCAAATTCAAAAATTTATATTTTATAATGAAAAATCGAATCACATTTTATTTTTATATTTTATTCAAATTTAAATATAAAATTAAATCAAATTAAAATAATAAACATGTTATTGAAAAAATAAATATATATGAAAAATAATTTTCATAAAGTTTATTGATTTTATTTAAAAAAAAAACACGGCGATCACAAATATATTTTTTTAATTTGCGAAAGAATACTAAAAATAATAAACTTTAAAATAAAAATTACTCAAATAAAGTATATATAAATTTATTTATCTAAATAGAATATTTATTATTCATATGTAGTTTTTTTTTATAATATTTTTTTTCATTTACTTTTTTTATCTTTTTTTTCTCTCATTTTACATTTATTTTTTTAATTGAACTATTATAATAAAAAATTTAAAAAATGTATTTAAAAAATGTATTTAAAAAATTATTTAAAAAATATTAAAACTAAAAAATATTAACTAATTATTTAAATTATGATAATAATAAATAAATTTATTTATGATGACATAAATAATTACCCATCTAATTAAAAAATGTCAAATATTTATAAATTAAATATTTTTTATTTAATAATTATATATAATTATAATAATTTGAGTTATGATAAATAATTAGATTAGGTGATTTTAAAAGATATTAATTAAAAAATACTTCAAAAAAATATTTTTTTCATAATAATTATAATATAATAATAATAATAATATTTGTAACATCTCAAATTTATTATATAATAATTTTTAAAGATAATATATTAAATTATGATATTTTTAGATTATTTAAATATTTTTATTTTTTAGAAATAATAAAAGATTTATGTTATCAAAATTTTGATATATTTTTTTTAATTAAAGATAAGATGGAGTGTGATTAAAGAAAAAATAAGAAATAAATGAAAGAAAAAGAAAAAGAAAAAGAAAAAAGAAAAAAATATATTTATATTATTCAGAAAAAAATTATTTATTTTTATTGAATTTTTTGTATAACCAATAAATAATTATAATTGAATAAATAAATTTATAAAAATTATATTTAAGTAATTTTTCATTTTGAATATATTATCTATGATATTAATTCTAAATTTATCGTTACCATTAATAAAGTAATCCTTTTTATGTTATTAACTTAATTATGGTAAACAGTAATAAATTTATAATAACCTTTAACGCATTAAATTTATTAAAAATACATTATATATATTATTAAAAAAAACACTAGATAACCATTTCTCTTAATATTTTTGAGTATATTGATTATTTCGTTCTAATTCGTTTTACATTATTAACCTAATTTTCTTTCTTACACTATTTTATCTTATTAAACAATATTCGGTTCACATTATTTTAGTGTCTTGTATAAATCCTGCATTAAAATATTAAATCTAACTGACTCACATATTGAGATGGGTGGTTCAAAATATGAGGAAATATTTGTTAATTTTGATTATTGACTGATTAAATAAGAAAGTAAGACTTTAACCATGGAAATCGAGTTGATGAATTACGCAACTAAAAAGTTAATTTAACCATTAATTAATAATTAGAGAATCTAATTTGATTTGTGTAGAACATAAAACACTATCGAGATATCAGTCAAAAATAAAGTAAACAAACAAGATGTAGTGATGACAAACAAGATGTATTAGTTAACCCCTCAATACCTCCGTCACTCCCTCTCATCTCATACAAAACTTTCTCTCGTGTTCTACGCTAACAAACTTGCTACACTCTGACACAACTCAAGGACATTTTCGTATTTTCACCATCTTCAGTATTAATACACCCTTCCCGTTCTGTTTCCGCGTCAATTACAGTTTTTTACTTCGTTTAATTTTCGTGTTAGTTTTTTTCGCTCCCGAATTCTCCAATTCAAATGGACAGAAGCAGTTCCAGACGCAGAGGCCGTTCCCCTTACCGTGGCGGCAATGCTGGCCGTAATAGTCCCGGTGGCCGAGGCGGCAATGCTGGCCGTAACAGTTCCGGTGGCCGAGGCGGCAATGCTGGTCGTAGCATTTACCGCGGCCGTGACAGTTACGTTGGCCGTACAGGAAGGCCTTATCAACATCACCAGTTCAGTAGTGGCAATGAACAAGGGTCTCCTTCCGAACAACAACCACTACAGAGGTTAAACCCTTCTTCTCCTGGTGCATCTTCAGAATCTCACAATTCTCACCCTCAAACTGAGACTGAAACTGGAAATCAAAGACAAACTACTCATAATCCAGGTATTGAGCGCGTTATTCTTGCTTAATTGATAGCCTAAAATCTGCATCAATATTTATAATAAATGATAGTACTAGTTGAATGTAGTTTGAATTCTTAACAGACGCAGGTTCTTTGAAGATATCAAAGGAGAATATCAGACCTATGCATAGGCCTGACAAAGGGGGAAGGGATAAAGTTGAAATAAGGAATCTCGAGGTGAACCATTTCCTTGTTGAGTTTGACGAAGGCAGAGTAATCTTCCACTACGATGTCGACGTGAAGGCCAGGGGTACCCCCAGTTGGCCTCAGAAAATTTCAAAGTTATATCTGTCGTTGATTCGGAAGAAGCTATTTTCCGATCACAGGCTACCGAGTTCGGCGTACGACGGCGAAAGGAACATCTTCAGCTCGGAGCCGTTGCCGGAAGAAACCTATGATGTGGACGTGTTCATTGATGGAGACGAAAGGCTCGTTGGCTACTCGGTCACTTTCAGACTCGTGAAGGTGCTTGAACTCCGCAAATTGAGAGATTACTTGAGTGGAAATGTTCTTTCGACTCCGAGAGATGTTTTACAGGGCTTGGATTTGGTAGTGAAAGAGAATCCCGCGCAGCGGTGTGATTCGTTTGGGCGCTGCTTCTTCCCCATGCATAATCCTAGAACTCCGAGAGACGTGATAATTCCAACTGAAGGGTTTCAGCAGAGTCTTAAGCCCACTTCTCAGGGCTTGTCCTTGTGCCTGGACTATTCCGTTTCGTCGTATGTTGGGAAGGATAAACCGGTGTTGGAGTTTCTGCTCGAACAAATTCCGAACTTAAATTTGAATCAGACCTCGACGTTCAAGAGCAAAGTTGAGACTCTACTTGTGGGGTTGAAAGTTAATGTGACCCACCGGAGGACGAAGCAAAAATACACTATTACCAGGTTGACACGCAGGGCTACGAAGGATATCTCATTCCCTGCTTTGGACTCTGAGGGACGGTATACTGGATGGACACCTTCTCTGGATGGCTTCTTTTTACAGAGGTACGGCAAGAAGATTCAACACGTAGACCTTCCTGCCTTGGATTTTGGAGGCAACAAGATGAATTATGTGCCTATGGAGTTGTGTGTCTTGGTTAAGGATCAAAGATGCCCCAGAAAGAATTTATCGGACACAAATGCTGCCACAGAGTTGACACGTAAGGCAGTGATTCCTCCACCAATGAGGCGAGACAAAATAAGAGCTTTAGTAAAATCAAATGAAGGACCGTGTGGGTAAGGGAATATTATTTCATGAGCATACCTAGATACTTTCAGATTTTTGGTCAGTGAATGTTGGATTTGCATAGATTGCAAATGATTTGTGTATTGTCACTTTCTTCTCCTTGTCTGTCTACTAATTTGGCAACTGTTGTGATCCATAAGTCAATTTTTTACCTTGCTGGGCATATATTTTCGTAATATTATTATTTAATATTTATGTTTTGTGGAACTTTTGATGCTTCCTTTCTTTGGTTTTTATAGTTACTGTTGTTGATCGAAACTAGCTGCTAGCCAGAAACCTACTTAGTTTTATTAGTATTAGTATGGACTGTTTCTGGTACTTTCGTGTTTCTTTTTCTTTTTGTTTCTCCCCTCCACCCCGCTTTGTATTGTCCAACAAGTTTACGTTTCAAAAGTCAACTAATTAAATATCAGGGACTTGCATCTAAAGGAATGCATAGCTTGAGCACTAGCACACATTCTCAAATGTCCAATGCATATAATGCATTCTTTCCATATTTGTTGACTTAATTGTGTATAAAATAAACTGATTAGGTATATATATGCAAATTGATAACTTTTGATGAAAGTTTTTATATGTGTAGAAGTAGAATTGGAAATGTAATGATTATGGCTCTATTTGAGTAATGATTTCATTATTTTGTAATCGGAGAACATATAACTTCATAATCCATGTATCTTTTTCAGTTTTCCACTTTATCATGATTTATTCTCTCTATCTGCCCTTATTCTTGAGTCTGTTAGAGACAAAGGCCTCATAAAATATCTCTTTTGACAGAGGTGGTGTTATTGAAAGTTTTGGAATGCGTGTGCACACTTCCCTGACAAATGTGAGCGGACGTATAATTCATCCCCCAGAATTGAAGATAGGTGATAGACGTGGTCACATTATTAGTCTGCCACTGAGTCCAGCGAAAACTTGGTGGAATCTAAATGATAGATCAATGGTGGAAGGCAAGCCACTTAAGTGTTGGGGCATTCTTTTCTTTTATAAGCATGGTAAACAAAAATTTAAAAGCGAACAGTTCATTGAAAATCTTACTAAAAGGTATACAGCTTTGGGCATTGGCATGGAGAAGCCCGCTTCGTATGAAGAATCTTGTATTTCGACACTTAGCAATTACGCTTCGCTGTTTGAATTACTTAAAAGAATTAATGATCAGGTTCGAGAGAAATGTGGACAACGGCTGCAGTTCCTTCTTTGTGTGATGGGCGAAAAACATTCAGGTTACAAGTGCCTCAAATGGATTGCTGAGACCAAAGTTGGGATACTGACACAATGCTGCTTGTTTTCTCATGCTAATAAAGGGGTTGAGAATTTTCTTTCAAATCTTGTCCTCAAGATAAATGCCAAAATTGGAGGAAGTAATGTAGAGCTCATGAATAGGCTCCCAAACTTTGACGGTGAAGGTCATGTTATGTTCATAGGGGCTGATGTTAATCATCCAGCTTCCCGGGACATCAACAGTCCATCAATTGCTGCTGTAGTTGCCACTGTTAATTGGCCTGCTGCAAATAGCTATGCCACACGTGTTTGTGCTCAAGGTAATCGGGTTGAGAAAATTTTGAATTTTGGGAGAATTTGCCATGACCTAGTTTCATATTACAATAGGGTGAACAAAGTCTGGCCAGAAAAAATTGTTATCTTTCGTGATGGCGTGAGCGAAAGTCAATTTCATATGGTTCTCACGGAGGAGTTGCAAGATTTGAAATCAGTGTTTCGTGATTCAAATTACTTCCCAACCATCACTCTTATTGTTGCACAAAAGAGACATCAAACTCGATTTTTTGACAAGAAGCGATTATCAAATTTGAATCCTGGAACAGTTGTTGACACAGAAGTAGTACATCCTTTTGAATTTGACTTTTACCTCTGTAGTCACCATGGGACGTCGGGTACATGCAAGCCCACTCACTATCATGTGTTATGGGATGAGCACAAGTTTACATCTGATGATTTGCAAAAACTGATATACCATATGTGCTTTACCTTTGCAAGGTGCACTGGACCTGTATCTTTAGTCCCTCCAGTGTACTATGCTGATCTTGCTGCATATAGAGGCCGGTTATACTATGAAGCAATGTATGAAATCCAACCTCCTGCCTCTTCCGCTACTGCATCTTCTTCCTCAGTTTCTACCCAAGGCTCAAGTATGTATGATCAAGGGTGTTACAAGTTGCACTCAGATGTGGAAAACCAAATGTTCTTCATTTGAATGCCTTGGGTTGTGCTACAAGAACTCTGCTCCCTTTGCATTGGGACAAGCCGCTTCAAGTAGGTAGTAGTTTGCGCCTTAATCTTCAAACTGTCTTGTCCTTTGTTATAGTTGTAATTGAGTCGGACATTGTTGATGTTATTTTAGTCTGTTTTGGGTTAAATAACGGTGGAGATGGGGAGAGCTTGTCTACTGGTGTCTTTGACGCAAATGAATGGAATCTTTCTAGAGATGATCAGAGCCTTTAGAGTTTGGATTTCACTGTGGATCTCAGGGGTGAAAAAGAATAGATGGGAAGGGAAAGAGAGGTGGAGGTGAAATTGTTTGGAAAAGATATAAAGTGTAGGAAAATAGTAACAATTATTTTTATTATTAAAATAATTATTAATATAATAATAATAATAATTATTATTATTAAATGTGAAAATCGATTTTCATGTTTAATAATAAAAATAGAATTTGTTTAATAATAATATAGAAATTTGATTTTCAAGTAATCAATAATTCATTAGTCAGAGAAGAATGGATTATCCATAATTGATTATCTGCAATTCAATAAAAATTGAAATGAGGGCAATTATGGAAAATAAAGTGTATTTCTCCTTTCATCTCCTCATCCCTGTTAAGAAACTTTATGTTATTTTCACATGTCATATGAAACAAATAAGATATATTCTTACTCTTTTATCTCCTTACGTTGACATTTAAGTGGGTTTTTAAAGAAAATAATGATATATTTAAAAATGAGATGAGGACTACGAGATAATCGAGTAAGAGACAAAAGAAAATTGATAATAATATCTTATTTATAGATAATGCACTGTTTAACTAAAATAGAGTATAATATTAATAGAGGGTGTGCGGGTAAATGATATTTATGCTGGTTTAAGTACCATTTCTCAAATTTTCCTTTTCTTTTTGAGTAAAATTGTTCCTTGTCTTTTGTTAGCCATTACATGTTTCTTCAATGGACTATTTGATATGCCGGAAACGCATATATTTTTTTTCCTTTTTCTTTCTTGAGTCAATTTATAAATTCCATTTCTACAATGAGGTCTTGTTTCTAATTTCGAATATGTAATTTTTTCTGGATATTTCTTATAATCATAATAGGAGTATTAAGGTAAAAAAAATGGAATACTCAAGAAAATCTTAGAAATAAAAGAGGCATTCCACAATATGGTTCATGCTCATTTCTGGCGGATTGGCCTGTTTGTCATCTTATAATTTTTTATATTAATTAAGTACGATAGTATTATTTATAAATTTACAAATGAATATAAAAAATTAGTTTAAAATGATATCAAGTTAAGAGTACGAGTTTGATAATAGGAGATGTTAATAAGGAAATTGGAAATAGAAAAAAGGGAGAGGACTCGAGACAAAATATCATAAGAACAAAATAGAAGAAAAGAATTAAGAAATAAGGGAGCAATTAGTTAGGAGCTTCAAATTGAGGAGAAGACATATTCACAGGAAAAGATTGGGAAATCAGAAGATCAAGGGAAGATCATTATTAAAAAAAAAAAAGAGTTACAAATAATAATAATAATAATAATAATAATAATAATAATAATAATAATAATAATAATAATAATAATAATAATAATAATAATAATAATAATAATAATAATAATAATAATAATAATAATAATAAACAGAACAGTTACAACCTACAATCTCACAATATGTCACAAACCGTTATAAAACATTATACATTATAATAGAACTAAAAATAATAATAAATAAAGAAAAAAAATCATTTTTATTTTATTTTATTTTTCTCCGTTATTACAATTAATAATATAAATAAGATAAAGTGAAGAAAGGAATGATTACAAATTATACTAAAATACTTATTTTATAAAAAACGTTAAAATATGGAAAAAAATATTTTAATATAGTTATTTGTAGCTTGCATCATGATTTTTATATATTTTTTACACCAATTTTTATTTGATTTTTGGTAATTTATATTTTCCTGCAATTTACGTTTCTCATAATTTATCTTTCTGGTCATTTATATTTCTACCAATTTATCTTTATCATATAATTTACTTTTCTGCATTTTAAATTTTTAAATCTTTCTTAGTCATGGTTCTTTTAATGAATTCTCATTAAACAATTAAATAATGACTGGACTAATACTAAAAATCTAAGTATATAATTTCATAAATATCTTCATCAAATTAATGTGAAAGATTCATGGTAAATATTAATTTCATATTAATTGTTGAGTGAAATATTAATAAATGTGATTATTTTTTTCAAGATTAATTGAAATATTTTCTAAATTAATTTTTTTTACTTATTAGTCTAAAAAAATTCACAATGATAAATAATTTGTATTGAAAACATTATTAGGAGTAAACTTGATAACTTTGTTAAAAATATCAAACCATTTTTTACCCGAAATTGATGGATAAAATGTTAAGTTTAACTTAATATTATGCTTAATCTTGATATAATTGTTTAGTTATTTATCTATTTGTTATTGGTGGAAATCAAGACTTTTATTGGTTTCAACGTCATCTTATTAAATTTGTTATACTTTTCTAAATTGTAACTTTATATATAAAAAAAAACTAGATTAACTTAATTTTTCAGTTTATTTTATTTAATTTTTCAAAATCACATATATACTTTCTTCTTGTCTTGTTATATTACTACAATGTACATTAATAAAATAATTTTTAAAAGTAAATAAAAATAATTAAAGTTTAAAATGTAAAGAAATAGAAAAAAATTCAGTGACCTAAAAAGAATATTAAAATATTGAAATAATATAGGATTAAATATATTTTGCAATCTTATAAAATTTTTAAGATATTAAATATGTCTTTAGAAATATATTTATACTATATTTTATCTTTAAAATTTAAATATATATTTTAATTCTTTCTTAATAGATTTTACATGTAAAATTCACATTTAAAAGTTATTTTGATTAGATGTGTGACGTAATTATTTATTTATTATTATTATTGATCAAAGATTAAATATATTTTAATTTAAAAAACTAAAAAATAATATGATTTTTTAAAAATATATCTAATATTTTAATAACCTTTCGAATTTTTTACACAAGTAAATTTAACTTCAAACTCAATTCAAAATCAATTTTATATATCTTCTAAGTGGTCTCTAGCTTACTCACAACGAGTAGGTTTTTGTCACTCTAAATTATTATTTTTTACATGATAATGTTATGTATTTTAATAATTATTATTATAAAATATTTAAGATATTTTTAATAAAAAGTATTGAGGTAATTAGTTTAAAATATAAGTTTTTAAGAATAAATATAATAAATTTATTATAAATGAGAATTGTTAGGAAGATCTAATTTAAATGAGTTAAAAGTAAAAATGTAAGTTAAGTTAAAAAAAGTTATAAAGAAAAAATCTTAATTATTCAAACTTCATTGTCACAAAATTATTATTTTTTCCTATAACTCTTTTTGATTATTTTCTTTCTAACTTTCTCACTCCACTATCCTTCATCTTCTTCTATATATGTCTTAGTACTCATGAAGTAGAGGAGAACATTCTTAACAAATCATAATTTATAATAGAGTAAGTTTCATTTTGCCTATTTTTAAAATATTTATATATAAACTTGATAAGCTTATACGTGGGACCTAGAGTGCATGCATGTGGGTTTTATCGAAATAAAGATAAATCTTAACTAACTCATTAACATTATGGTAAGTTCAATTTCTTAATTGAAATTTGTTGTGAGTAGACTTATGGTGAGTTTAAAAACTTTTAGAGTTTTTTAAATAAAAGATTGAGAAATTAAGGTAAGGAGAAATAGTAAATATTTAATAAGATTTAAACTGTGATTTGTAGGGAGTTGATTGTAAATTTGATTATTGATATTGTGAGTTATTGAATGTCTTTGAATGAGTTGAATTAAATTAAATTAATGACGTGGGAAATGTGTATGAAATGTTAGGATGAAATAACTATATTTAGATTAAGTATAACATGTTTTGAAAGGAAATGATGTAATAAATATCAAAAGATAGTGTTTGATGCTTAAAATTGGTTTATAATGTATTTTTACAAATCTATTATCTATATATTTCACTTAAGCAATAGCTTGTCACTAAAGCGACCGGAGATGGACTCCTCTTAGGTGTGTTTTCACTCAAGCAAAAACATTTCCAATGAAATGAAAATTTTCTTAAATGTATTTTCGCTCAAACAAAATTTCTCAAAAGTTTTATATTTGAACTTCTAAAAATTATAAAAAACAGTTTCAAGCTCTGAATTAAACGTTTCGTATATGCAAATTAAAACCCAAAAATAAGGAATCCAATGAAATAAGATTTAGTCAAAAACTGTATCTACAAAGAAAGTTATGTTCAAAAAATAGATAGAGGTCAAATCGGTGACTGGATCTTGACCATTGATTTTGGAGGGGCCAAATAATATATTATTAAAAAATAATAAATAAATATAAAAGGAAGAAAGAAGATGAAAGAGTGAAAAGATAAAATTGTAGATATATACTTAAATATATTAAATTATCATTAAGTATGAGGGAAACAAAATCATAAATTATATGAGAGTTACAAAACTGAGGAGAGACTGAGAGGATAAAATTGTAAATATACAAGTAAATATATTAAATGTTCATTATGTTTGGGGGGACCAAAATCATAAATTACATGGGAGTTACAAAATTTTGGGGGGCCACGGCCCCCCTCAACTCCTAAGAAGATCCGCCACTGGGTCAAATCATAAAAATATATTTTTGTTGTAATGTGAAAATGGTATGTTTATAAAAATAGTATTTAGTATGAAATGAGCTATATTGAGTGTTATTATATGCATATAAAAATAGTTTGTCGAAACATGAGAACTATCATAAGATATCCATACATTAGGCTTAGTTGAGCTATGAGATTAACTCATAATTGACTAAGACATATTTATGTTTGTGAGACTAAATCGAATCAGAGATGTGTTCTATAATCAATTGAGATGTGTGTGGTTATCGGTACCTGGGGAGATATTGTATGGTGTAGCATGTAAGAATATTGAATGAAGTTTTTGAAAGAAACTATCTTAACTCTATTGATAACTAGAATCATATAGATAAAAAGATCAGGTAATGAGAGTTAAAAGAGATTTATAATAACATAATCTCGGTGTGAAATAGAACTGTATTTTGGTTAGTCATTTAGAAATTACTCTGATCATATGTGGGTGTTTATATATCATATTGAGTACCTTTGTGT